TAGATCTGCTTCTTTTTGTGAACTTTATGTGTCTTTATGGTTTACTTTTTGTGCATGAAAACCTGGTACATCCAAGCTTCTGGTTCTCTCTTTTGATTTTATATTGGAGTGGCCAGATTGCTTTTCTCTTCAGGAGTTCCCACAGAGGCCCAATTCAGGTAAGGGTCAGATGTTTTCAGGCTTTCTCCTAAGGTCTGGATCCCTCCAGGAACGATTTTGGCTTCAGGAATTTGGTTGTTGGACTGGCCTGGAGCCTGGCCCAGGAAAGATGCTGGTCTAGGGCAGCTGGTGGCCATACCACCCTGAGATCCAAAGGCAAATGTGGCAGGAAGAGGCCCCAAGGACTCCTGGGGACTGCACTGAGGAGCTGGGTTGATCTGGATACAAAGGATCTGGAAGAGGAAAGGTCAGGTCCAGTGTCCCAGAAAGAGGCTGGTGGGTGGTACAGGCCCAGGGAAGCAGAGGGAGGTGAGGGCATGGCCAGTCCCAGAAACAGTGCTTCTGGGGTCCAGATAAGGCACTATGTTGGTCTGGATGAAAAGGATCAGGAAACAGTATTGGTTCCCCAGGTGTCTGGGCCCCCAAGACAAGGAATGGGGCAAGGCCCAAACTCTGAGGAGAGAATGGTGGGGGAGATGGGAGGGTGAATGGCGCTGGGAGAGTCAGGGCATGGAGGGCGAGATGGACTTTCCCCAGAGAGAGGCCTGCAGGGAGGAGAGAGGTCTGCGGGGTTGGTGGGGGGGATCTTTCAGGCCGAGAGAGCAGATGGCAATATTGATTTTTTTAATGAAAAGAACTAATATTCTCTTAAGACCTAATTAGAATCTTTTCCATCTTAGTAACTTCCACAGTATTAAGTAAAATTTGAGTAGCAAAAAGAATCAGATAAGTTTTAATAATTCATGCTTTTGAACTTAACAGACTGTAAGACTTCAGATATTAATATGTGTTTCTAAAATACTTTATATATCAAAATAATTTACTAAAGAAGTATTATGATAGGGAAAATTTTAAAACAAGCTATTTCAAAGCAAGAGATTATTTAAACTGTCATAGGTTTTGAAATGAAAAATTATAAAAATACTTGAGTGCTATATCTGAAGGTAATGAAAAATGAAAGTTGGAGGCTCATAGATGAAAAGCAGAATAAGTAAATACATATAGAACCACTGTATGAAATAGTACATTAATTAAAACATGTTTAGGAAAAAAGCACAAGAAATGTACTCCACTATGCTATCAGTTTAGATTATTTTTCTTGTAATTAAAAAGTTTAATTTGAAAAATGATCTTCAGACTTTTATTTTCATATATTTTGAAACTATTTACCATGACATCGTCATTATCTGCTCATTTATTCATTTATTTAAGAAGGTTTTTTTAAGTCTTCCTGCTGGGTACCTTGCTCTCGGGGCTGAGAGATCAGCAGTGAATGAAATAATAAAACATGGAGCTTATATTCAAATAAATAGTCACCTCAAGGTGTTTAGAAACATGACCCTGTTATGTTGCATCTGCATCCTTGTTTCCAGCTTCTAAGGACATTTTTTGATTCGTAATTTTAAGAATGTTTAATTCACGATTATATTTTATAGTCAGTTTGTTCCCTTATTATTTTTACATTCTGAATAAAAAATTCCATAAACATTTCTGACAATTTTCTCAACATTTATGTATATAATGGTAAAGGTTCAATGAAGTTAATCGTTTCTATAACAAAAGACAGAGGTTGAGATGGGACCTGTGCTGTATGCTTGCCTTCCCTTTTTTCCTCATTTCTCTCCCATGAGTAATTTCTCTTTGGGCCTTGAATATTTAGGGTCCTTGCTAAACTTTTTCAACTGTCTAATACCTCAGTATTCTGAAGTCACTTAAGTAATGATGCTTAGACTCATTTCTTTCAAGAAGCCTCTTCTGAGTCCCCTGCAGAGTGAACTATTTCTCTTATGCTCTTTCATTGAATGTTGTATTGTTCCACCAATGGCGTTCAGGTGATACTCTAACTACCTGTTTTCATTAGGCCATAAAAGCAGAGGTATAACTGCCTTGTTCACCATTTGCCCTCACTGCCTATTGGAGCTAATAATGTATGATAAATAACTTTTAAATGAGTGAGTGGAAACCTTTGATAATGTGAAAATAACAGTACCAGCAAGCAGGCATTTAGTTTCTTAATGGAATGATTAAACGTAAAAATATATCCCAACATTTTTGAAACAAACAATATATCTATTTAGCTTTTCCTTGCCCTATTGTCTTCTCTCTCAGTGTCTCATTTTTTGGTCTCTTTTAGATACCATCAATCTTACAGAACAAGTGCAGTGGGTCAAAGTCAATACAAACATGACTGGCTATTACATTGTACACTATGCAGATGATGACTGGGCAGCACTAATCAATCAGTTAAAAAGAAATCCTTATGTTCTGAGCGACAAAGACCGAGCCAACCTCATCAATAACATCTTTGAACTTGCAGGGTAGAGTATGCTTGATTTACATTTTTTTTCTGTTGCTTTTTAAATGTTCTTGAGGTAAAGAACGGTTCAGAAAACTGAAAGAACTAGTATCTATTGACTATTAGGCACAGTTCATTTTAGGTGATTTAGGAATTCTAAGGTATGTCCTTTTCTTTCAGAGACTTAAATATACTTAGAAACATCAGCTATAAACATGTTGAGTAGTTGGGTAGCATAAAACAGGATCAACTAATAATTCACGACTAGATACCAACAAGTACAATACATATTTTGTTCAATAAAATACTGTAGAAATTCAAGCTTCACATTATTTCATAACAGAATTCTTTTTAAGAAGCAGTTGGCTTCTGCTTGAAGCTCAGTGCTTACTACCCCTTGGTTTAACAGCCTCTGTAGTGGCTGAAACATTCTTATGTGTGTTCGACTTGCCTCCTCAATTACCTCATGCATTGTAGAATCACAAACCCAAGAATAGTAGAGGTCTTTTGTAGAGGTATCTTCTGACTGCTTTATGAATTTAGACTCATTAAACCTAGAATCACAAAACATACCAGGTATCATTTCATCTTTTTGTTAAGAAGTGACCTTTTATATCATTTCAACCATCACTTCTATGACTTCTACAAACTGCCTCGTGTTTAAGGTTTTGTTCTTGTTGCTTTGTTTTTTGAGACAAGGTATCACCATGTAGCCCTAACTGACCTAGAACTCCCTATATAGACCAGCCTGGCCTCAAATTCAGAGATCTGGTGCCTGCCTCTGTCTCCTGAGTGCTGGGATTAAAGGCATGTGCCACCATGCCCAGCCCAAACTACCTAGTTTTTTTTTTTTAATACTTTTAAAAAAAATTTTATGTGTATGAGTGTATTGTCTGCATGTATGTGAGTGCCCCTGTGTCATGCAGTGCCGCAGAGGTCAGAAGAGGGCTTCGGATTCCCCTGGAACTGGAGTTAAAGACAATTTGTAGCCACCATGTGGGTACTGGGAATCGAACCTGGGTCCTCTCCAAGAGCAGACAGTGCTCTTAACCGCTAAGCCATCTCTCCAGCCCGCTACCTAGTTTTTTAATTTTTTTTTTTATTTTACATGTATGAGTGATTTTCCTGCATTTCTGTGTGTGCACCATGTGTGTGCGATGCCTACAGAGGCTAAAGAGGGAGTTGGATCCCCCACCCCCTGTAACTGGAGTTATGGATGTTATTAGCTGCCATGTGGGTGTGAGAACCAAACCTGGGTCCTTTGCAAAAGCAGCCAGTGCTCTTAACTGCTGAGTCATCTCTCCAGCCCCAACTAAAGTGCCTAGTTTTTAAAACTCAAAATAGACCTTGCCTTAACAAATTTGGCAGAATCCTATCCAATAAGAAATAAGGTTTGGTTTTGTCTTTTCCTGATGCAGATATTCTATATGCCATCCCCTGTCATTTGGAAATATTAATAATTAGCAAATAAAATCAGTAGTATTCAATTTTTCCAGCACATTGTGATACATGTCCTGAATCCATGGCAGTTAACAGATGACATGTGGATTAAAAAATGAACTGTTGTATAGCTTTCTGTTAAAATGCATCTTTACCTTTGGGACACTTACATATAATTGACTCTAACTTTGCAGAATGTTCCTGTAAGCTTAAATTTATGGTCTTCAAAACTCACCACCTAGATATAAAGTCTCCCTCCTGTATACATAGTGTTCTGTATGTCACAGCAGATTTACTTTTTCTCTTATTTTAAACTTAGCCTCGGCAAGGTGCCTCTTCGGATGGCATTTGATTTGATTGATTACCTTGGAAATGAGAACCATACTGCACCTATCACTGAAGCCTTGTTCCAGACAAGCCTTATCTACAACCTCCTTGAAAAACTGGGGCACATGGACCTGGCCTCGAGATTGGTGGTAAGTCTGCCTTTTTTCTAGTTTGTCTTGGGGGCTGCCTTTAATATTGTCATTCACAATTCCACTCAGCATTGCTGTGCTTTTTTTGAAAAGCAAGTTAAATTCCATTTTTCTTTTTGAATTTATCTTTATTTTATGAGTATGAGTGTCTTGCCTGCATTGTATATAAGTGTACCTTTACCATGTAATGCCTGTAGCTAGAAGAGGACACCAGATCCCCAGGAAATAGAGTTAGCCTCCATGTGAGTCCTAGGAACTGAACTCGGTCCTCTGCAAGAGTAACCAGTGCTCTAAAATGCTGAACCATCTCTCCAGCCCCAAATTCCATTTTCTTTACTTCCCTGGTTGTAAAATCTTTACTGCGAATCAAAATGCCCTTGTTTGCCATGAGGAATTGATAAAACTTTAGTATGAAGTAGTATTGTTTGAATATCAAGATACAGATTGTCAACTTTGCTGTCAAAAGGGAGACACATGAAAAGAAAATGTTTCTTAGAATCTTACTTTTTTTGAATACAGCAAAAGCTTAAAATAGGACCTTTTGCAAAATAGATATCCCATTAATTTGCTAGTGGTCATTATAAAATGGCAATTATGTTTGTACTGAGAATATCCTACTTAGAAAGTATTGCTAATTACTCTCCTGTGGATAAATGATCCTGGTGGGTAGCAGCATTTCTATGAGAACAAAAGGAGTCTTAGTATTAGATTTTACCTTTCTTAAAACCAGCCACCTGGTTTTACACAATTTAGAATTGTTAACTTTTATCACTTCAAATAAACACATTAAGATAGTGTATTAGTTTCCCAGGATTATTATAATGAATTGCTACAAACTTGGTGTCCAAAAATAGCAGAAATGTACTCTTACCACTTCCAGAGGCTAGAAGGTCACAGTCAAAGTGTTGACAGGGTAGGGTCTGTGCCTTGTAAGAGATAATCTGTTACATGCCTTTCTCTTTCCTTTCAGTGGATGCTACCAACCCTTGGCATTCCTTGGCTTGTAAATGTGTCATTTCCATCCTGCCTCTGTTGACATGGCATTCTCCCTGTGTTTCTGTGTCCCAGATTTCCCTGTTGTCATGAAGATGCCAGTCCTTAGATTAGAGCCCATGATAACCTAATGTGGCTTCATTTTTACTTGATTGTATCTACAAAGAAACTGTTCCCAAAAAAGATCATATTCACAGGTTTCAGGCAGACACAAATTGGGGGAGGCAGTGCATAATGAAGTATCAGTAGATGCAGATAAGATTAGTACATGTCCCTCGTTTTTTTTCACTCTTGAAGGACACTGTTGGTGCTGAAGATGCCCTAAAGGAACGCAGAATGTCTGTATACTCTGAAGTTTATTAGCTAATTAGTTTCATATAACAGAAGCCCTTTTTCCCCTTGCCTCTCTCTGTCACCTGTATTTAAGACTTAGTTTTAGAGGCTGGAGAGATGGTTCGGTGGTTAAGAGCACTGGCTGCTTTTGCAGAGGACCTGGGTTTGATTCTCAGCACCCACATGGAGGTTAACAACCATCCGTAACTCAGTTCCGGGGGATCTGAAGCCCTCTTCTGACCTCCACCAGCATTGCATGACATGGGTGCACTTACACACATGCAGGCAATACACTCATACACATAAAATAAAAATATTTTTGAAAAGACTTACTCTTAGGAAGCACTTGGTAATTATCTCAAGCTATCCCTTTGTTGAAAATACAGATGTTAAACTCAATTCAAAGAGTTCGATTTTTGGGATATTTTCTTCCTGTTGATGTTCAAGTAACTTGTCTTCCTACAGCATCTTCATCCTGGATGATTTCCAGTGTTCTGGGTAGGTCTGTGTTTGTTAGGAGCATACCATAGAGTGGGATGCAGGCAAATGATGGATAGAGGGCAGGGAAGGAGGTTCATTGGCTAAGAACTTGGACCCTTTCACTGGTATAGGTCTTTGGGTCTTCATATTGTTAGCGGAACACCACCTTGGATATAGCTCATCAAGAGGGAAAACATTAAAATTCTTATTCTCATCTTAGAGGATTCTGGTAACATCCCAAACTCCCAAACTGTGAAACCATTTTGTAGTTAGGAATTGGGATGGCAGAAGTCTCTGAGTCCTTGAATCCAATATTCAAGTGTATTGGTATTTAATATTATGTCTAATTAATATTTATGTCATTGTAACCAGAGCGTTATGCATATTCATTTTCTATTTTGTTATGAAAGCTACACATGATGTATGTAGCATTTCATGGTATGCGCTGTTTGGTGGATAGGGGTCTGGAGGAACATTTGTGTTGTGTTAAACTGTTCACATCTGATGTTAATGTCTGGTTTTCACCATATTCCTGTTTTGTCACTTAGAAATCTGTCATTTTCTTTCATAGTAGGTATTGGTGGTACAAACCTTTTGTAATAAAAACTGATATTTCATGTTTAAGAAATTCAGTTGACCTAGGAATGAACTCCCTGAGTGTATCAGTGTAAAATTAAAGTAGTAAATCAAAAAGTAATATATAACAAAAGTGCTAGCATCTTTCTTTTATTTTTTAAATAATTTTATTATTGGTGCTGCCTTTTATTGCATATCTAGTGTCTGTAGCTTATATGATACATCAGTTTATTCCCTCTCTTACCTTGCCAGTGTTACTTTATAGAATCATAGTATTAGATTCTATTGTTTAATGACTTTAATTTCACAAGGTTTATTTAGGAAAAGCAGATTTAATTTTATTTATAAAGGGGAAAGGCAGTTTGAAACAACTGCCATGTTTCATAAATATTAATATCAAAGACATAACCTGAAGCACTTAAATGATCACATTTTGTTTTTGTTTTTATTTTTTTATTATTTTTATTTTATGTGTATGCTTGTATTGCCTGCATGTAGGTAAATGCACCCGTGTCATGAAATGCCTGTGGAGGTCAGAAGAGATTGTCGAGCTATGAACAGTTGTTAACTGCTGTGTGGGTGCTTGCAGAACCCAGGACTTCTGCAAGAACAACCAGTGTTCTTCCCCACTGAACCATCTCTCCAGCCCCAAATGATCACATTTTGTAACTTGAGAACTTTATGAAAATATAATTATTTTAGTAAAATACCATAGTTTCAAATATATTAAAATATATTTAAAATCAACTCATTTTGAGAAACTCTCTTATTTTGTGTAAAGAGACCAACAGAATTGCACCATCTAATTCCAGTTGTATAATTGTTCAAGGCTTAGCCTTAGCACCATCAACTGTCAAGTTTTCTTTGCTGCCAGTGCTTTTAAAGTGCCATTTCTACTAACATTGCTGTTTCTCATTGAGCTTTTTTAAAAATAGGTTTTTGCCAGGCATGGTGGTGCATGCCTTTAATCCCAACACTCGGGAGGCAGAGGCAGGCGGATCTCTGTGAGTTCCAGGCCAGCTGGACCTACAGGGAGACTCTGCCTCAAAAATAGCAAAATAAAATAAAATAAAATAATGTTTGCTCCTTTTGTTTTGGAGACAGGATCTTAATCTTCCAAGCTATCCTTGAATTCTGGGCTTAAGCAACCCCCATCCCAGCCTCCAGCACCACACTCATGATTTGTATTTGTATTTTTATTTTGATGGGGGGGGTGGTCCTGTAATCCTAGTTGACTTGGATCTCACTATATGTAGACCAGGCTGGCCTCAGTCTCACAAAGATCTGCCTGTCTCAGC